CGAATCTTGTGCAACCAGCTGTGAGTGCATCCTCAAGCGTGTGGGATCGATTATCAGCTGCATCGAGCAATTCAGTGACTATATTGATAACAAGTGCTGCGTCAGAGTAAATTCCATTATATCAAAGCCTCTCAACGTCGGCACTGGTTCTCGCCAATGCTGCTATCTGTCTCTTCTCCGTTTTGTGTGGTACATATATTGACAGCCTGAACGACTAATTTGTCAGTAGCGACTAGGAGATATGGAGACGACACGTTGGCTGTTCGCAGATGACCTTGTTTTGTCGTTATTTTCTGAAACTGATCTCCAGCGATCTCTGAAAAGGTTCGCAGCTGAGCATTATGTGAGCCAGCATCGCATAACATGAAGAATCGTGTATTAAACGGAAAGCTAGTGTGCTTTCTCGTTCTTCTGCTCGCTTCGCTCAGCGAATAAATGAAGAGGCAATTGAACAGACGAAGAAGTTCACATACCATGGGTTCATGCTTCTTTGTGATGGAAAATTGAAGGAAAAGATGAACCAGCAAATTGGAATCGCCAGTGGCGTTTTACGAGGATTAGATTACAACAAAGCTGAGTTTGAAAATCTGTCACTGTTTAAGTCAATCTTGATCCACATTTTCACGCATGGTTATGAATCATGTGCTATGGATTAAAAACTTAGTTACCCTGTAAAAGCGGCTGAAATCGGATTTCTGAGACGAATTCCTGTTCCCATGCGTCTTAACATAGCTCAGAGTTCAGATATTCGAGAGAGCGTTGGTGTAAGCTGCTGCCTCTTCAGACTAAGATGTCACAGCTACGGTGGTTGAAGCGCGTCTTTGATATACTTTCTGAAAGGAAAACGAGGCAGCTTCTTCTTGCCCAACAGACCGACCGAAGTCGCCGGATAAAGCCAAGAATGATCTGGAGGAGTATCTTGAGACACACTGTTCCAGACATGGATTACTTGCTGCCAAAGCTGAAACACTGGCTGAAAACTTCCTGACACCGTCTGAGCCGAAAGTATAAACTGGCGTCGAAAATGATTGGCTGACTGGCTGACTGATTTTGACAGTTTATTCGGATTGGCTAGCCTTGTAAACTATTATCAACATCTCCGCAACCTTCATCCTGAATTCAGAGAAAAGCTGCATCTCGTGAAGTTTCGCTCATTGAAAGACCTGAAGAAAGAAGTGGTCATGGAAGATGAAGATGACCATGGATAAATATGATCGGCGACTGGTGGTAGCATCATCGACTAAGCCTACCAGCGCGATATCCCGAACCGTTTCCATTCCCTCAGGTAACAGAGACAGGCAGCAATTATGAGTTATAATCAGTCACGTGACAAACAGTCACGTGATAATTTCGATCCCTGTTGTAAAGCCAGAATAGTTCTCCAGTTTGCGAATGAATAACGCTTGTAGAAGTATGAAGCTAAAATTGATGAATAGCTTCGCTTTATCTATCAGCAACTCTTCACTGACACCGTCTAACACTGAGATGTGAATGATGTCCAGTTTAAAATTAGCTACAGTATCTCCAGTTTAAACTGCACATTAGTGCATCTACGCAAAGCACCTGCTGTCACGTGCTGATCACGCACCGGTGTGCGTTCGTCACTGAAGTTGATCAGCTAATGTTGTCTGAAAGGAAACACTCACGGGGTAAGTCCCGTCTCTTTGTTTATATTTACGTAACCTTTGACGTTGGACAGAACACAGGTATATTTCCATGCGGTCTCTGTGACAAAGCGTACTTCCACGACAGTTCTGTACGTCGCCATCGTATAGAGAAGCACTTCGAGCGACAGACCTGTACATACTGTGGAAAAGAAAGCAGAAGTAAGTGTATCTGAGCGTCCTATTTTTTTAGTCAGAGCGAAGGGTGAGTTTCGAGCTTTACAATGAAAGTCACTTGTAAAATCAGTTACTCATAGGCGATGAGGTATGGAGCCAGCCAAATGCATATCTGATTCAGGGATGGTTGGTTGTTCCCGCAATGTTTTATGCCCATTGACATTTCGAGGGTATCGAAGCTATGTACGTAGTAAATCCAAAATATTTTACCCTGATAATGACGTCAGTATATGATGTAGGAAGCCGTTGATCAACAATAAATTTACGTCATTCTAGTATCCTATCGTCTTGAATCATCTTCATCTTCATCTTCCATCGTTGATTCTCCTTTCGGGTCGCGGAGGCAGACACGTCAGACGGTGCTTCCAAAGTTCCCGATCCTGTGCCAGAATCTGAGCTTCGGCAAAAGACAAATGCAATCTGGAACAGAATCCTTCCATATATTTGCACCAGATTAATCTTGGCCGTCCCCTGGGCCTCTTGCCGGTCGGATTTGCAAGGAACAGTTGCTTAGCCTTCCTTTCTGGAGGCATTCGCAACACGTGCCCAA